GCCCCCGCCCCGCCCCACCCTGGGTCAGATGGCGTCAGAAGCAACAAATGCAGCCTGTGGTGCTTTGGTTTAGTTGGTTTAAAAGGCAATGATGGTTTGTGGGAAATTAAACTTCAGAATAAAGGGATGCATCTGGTCATAAAATGCCAGCGCCTTGTCCAGGCAGCAAAGGCGTAGGTTTGACTAGAAAAAATCTTGGGGACGCTGACGTGAGTTCACCCCACGGTGCCCTCAGAGGGACACGGGAAGACGCCTCAGGAGACCAGGGCACCAGCCCTCGTAAGTCCACGTGAGCATCGCTGCCCAAAGGTGGGGTCACTGCTGAAAGCTTCCGGAAGGGCCTGGCCAGGCCAAGGATGTCCCTCTCCCGCCATCTGCCCCTTCCAGACGCAGAGATCTCTGTGCTCGGACACAGATGACAGGCCCCAGTCTCCAGGCGGTAAAGGCACGTCCACACTGGGCCTTTTGGAACAGGGCCCCATTTCCTGCCTCACATGCGGCCACCCTGGATGAAGGGCTAATGTCAAGGTCATCGTCAAAATGAAAGCGGAGCGCGCACCGGGTGCACAGCCGCACTCAGCTCAGTTACTGCCTGCGAAAGGACGTCTGCATTTACGATGGCCCGGCCGCCAGCAACCCTCACCTGGGACCACGCCGTTGGTGGCAATCGCGCTCATCGAGATGGCAGTCAGCATCGTCTGCAAGACAGGTGACACTTTAGAAGAGCATTCTGAGGGCCGCCCTGGCGGCGAGGGCAGCGATCCCCAACTCCCAACCACAAAGGGGCTGCTGAGTCTTTAACACCCAGGACTGCAGCCCCCAACCCCAGGTTCTGTCCCACTTAATCCCCAAGCTGTGCTCCTACAGGTAGCCCAGAGAAGACCCGACTCAGGACCCCATCCCGCAACGAAGGGCCGGCTTCTGCCTGGGTGCCCACCCCGGCGAGGCACAGGGGGAACCCAGCCTGGCTGCCCAGCCCCCATGGAAGACTGCCAGAGCCTGACTGGGGAGGACTGGCCCCAGCTCTCACCACCTGCTCAGGAAACAGCCACGCCCATGGGTTGGGAGCAATTATTTTACAACCTAAGGACCAGAAGCAACAGCCGGGAAAGCAAAGGCCCCAGTGACCCGTGTCCCACCAACCGTATCTGCTGCCTGGACGAGCCCACACCCGGGTCCCGCTTTTTATCCTTTATTTGTGGCAATCGCTGCGGACACTTCCTAAGATCTCACGGCACAGGGAGATGTGGTGAGGCCGTTTAGCTGACCCTAACCACGGCACCGCGAAGGCTGGGGCACCAGGAAGCCAGGGTGCAGGGTAAGAGGACCGAGTGGGGCCCAGGGGACTCCTGCTCGTCTGCACCGCTTGAATTCTCTCAGGTGACACATGGTGACACAACAGTTTCATCACCCTCTTCATAACAAGAAGAAAGGAAAAGCGCGGGAGGGGAGGAGGTGCTGAGGAGCATCTAGAGGCTAAACCAGACGCGACCAAATGGTGGACAGAACAGCGTCCGTGTCCCTGACAGGGACACAGGCACAGAGGCCAAGTGTGGCTCTGCGGCTCAACAAGACACCAGCACACGTGTCCCTTCCTATAAACGGGGCCCCTGAAAATGCCCAGGTGGTTCTTACTGGAATGGGACCTGGTCCAAGTGGTGACAGTGCCCACGACTCCCCCGGCTGCCCAGACACCCAGCGCTTCCGCACACGCAGCGGAACGAGGCGCCTTGCGGCCTGCCGTGCTCTCGCCGGCTCCAAGCAAGCGCTGTGCTGGCCCAGAAGGCAGGCAGCAGCCTCGGCCCCCACAGAGCCCGGGGCGGGCGGTCCACGGGACCATCCCCGGTGCCGGCTGCTGCGGCCCCCAAGGCGCGAACACCGCCGGGTCCGGCGGGATCACTCACGCAGGTGCAGCACATGAACACGATGAGGAAGGACTCCATCACGCCGGCCACGCCCACGATCCACGTCAGGCGCAGGAAGAGGATCACACCCAGAATGTTCTGCAGGCAGGGCAGGTAGACGCCGATGAAGGTGCCCATGCCCGGGCTCTGAGGGAGAGAAGAGTCTAGGGAGGCCAGCTGCACCTCGGGCGCGCTGCCCCCCCGCAGCCCTCAGGCCCGGGAGACGCCCTGAGGACAGGAGGACAAGGAAAGGAACCAGCTTCAGCTGCCTGGACCTAGAAAAACAGCTAAAGGGACACCCGCCCCAGAGAGAGCTGAGCAGGACGCCGGCCGTCCAGGAGCAGGGCCCTCCGGGAGGGACCAGAACCACATCATCGCCAGGGAGCAGACGGCGCAGCCCGGCTGGGCCTCCGTCCTCCACGTGGGGAACGGCAGGAAGGTGGGAAAGTCTGGGAAACGGGGAGCAAGGCTCCATGCAACACGACTGCAGCTCGGGGTGCTAGCAGCTCAGGACCCCGTGCGGCATGTTGCTAGACGCCAAGGCCAGGCAGAAACCTGCAGGGTCCTGGCCTGCGTGGAGGGAGCGACCAGGGGATGCCGGCGAGAGTTCAGAGGACGTGCGCGCGTGGGCACACAGGGCACCCCCTTCCTGAAGTCCACAGCCACAGATGGAAAAGGCAGACGTGCTGCCCGGACGTGGGGAACCGCGGTGGGAAAGTGTCAGGGGCGCCTGACGGAAGTGTCTGCTGTGCCTGCAGAGGCCGCACCGAGCAGACCGGCCCGGGGGAGACAGCGGCCAGCAGTGCACGGGCCAGGAGGCCCGGAGGTCCCAGCCCAGCCTGTCCGTGACCTGGGGCAACAGCCAGCGTGGCCACAGTCAGGAGGCACATCAGGGATTTGGGGACATCTGGCTGTGAAGACAAGATGCCATTTAATGAGACAAATGTGTGGAATTCAGGTAAATTAAAAAAAGAAGCACCTGGGAAGCTTTGCTTTGAAAACGTTTCCTGAATGACAAGGCTCACTGAAAAAAGGGCCTCAGGTGGCGACTGAGAGAGGTGCAGCCCAGGGCTTGGGGGACACAGCCCAGCCCCAGGGAGGTAGCCGAGGGCAGATGCCCAAAGAACGGACTGAACCCCCATTAAAGGAAGAAGGTGGGCTTCTCGGGGAAAAAACAGGGCGTTTGAGGACAGAAGGGGCAGGGCCGCAGCTCTGATGGAGCCCAGGGCCCCAGGGAAGGTGACCTGAGAGCAGCCAGTGAGGGCGCCAGGGAGAGGCTCTGAAAGCCCGCAGCTCAGACCCCCAGGGCTGGACTCCGGGCAGCTCGAGTTAATGCCTGGGCCCCAAGCGCCATGGTGCTCCCAGGTCGGTGTCCCCTCCCCCGGAACCCTGTGCTTTTGTGTAAATACAAGTGGCTCTGGGCCTTGCGCCTGATGCAGAGTGGGCGTATCTGAACTATATGAAAATACGAATGCTACGCCAGGTGACAGCAGTGCTGGGCAAGTGCCAGCTTCTAGTTTGCAATCTCACTGAGCACACGAGGAGGTCAAGGAAACAGCACAGAAGCTGAAGCGGACCGTCCAGTCCCAGCAGCGCCCGGCTCCAGGCCCCACGTGTGCTGGGGCCAGCTCTGCGCGGCGGCTGGCAGGCTCCTGAGTCACCCTGAGGAGCACGGTGGGCACGTGGCCTCACTTCTCATAAAAGGCAGCTTTGAAGGACACACCCGACCAGCTCTGAGGCCCAGGAGGCTGCAGAGCCAGGCCCTGGAGATGGTGCCTTGGGGGCAACCAACGCCCTATCTCTGGGGACAAGCTCCTGTGCCCGGCTGATCAGAGGAACAATGAAGGGCGGCCCCCGCCCCACACCCCAGGGACTTCCACTCGTCCTAAGTGGGGCAGCTGGATTCACCCCAAGCAACACCTGCCCACCTGGCGACACACGGCCGCGCCAAGGGTCATAGGGTGACCGTCCCTCCTGCGACTGAAGCCCAGTGCTGGTCTAGGTGGGTCCACACCACGGGCCATGTAGATGCACAAGGCTGGACGCAGGTTAACATCCCAGCAGAAGCTACGGGGCGTTGGGGCTACAACTGTGTCTGTGCCACGAGGCAGCTGTGACCCGCTGGGCTGCGCCATGCGGCCTGGAGAGAGCTGCAGCGGCAGGCAGAGGGCTGGGTGGGGCCAGGAGCTGCGGCCGACGGTCGTTCCAGGAAGCACTGCGACCCAGGGTGGGCTGACAGCTCCCTAGGACACAAGCTCCCGCGGACAGACAGAGGGACAGCTGTCCCACAGCAGAGCCAGACCAGAGCCTAGGGCATGCGTCCACAGCTGCAACCTCCCACAGGACGTCACCTGGGGCCAGCGTCCTCTGTCCCCCACCTCAGGGCGGGCCGTGGCTCCATGAAAAGCCAGGGTGGTTACAAGCTCCTGAAACCAGGAAGGTCCTGGCAGGAAGAGGCGTGGTCCAGACACACCGCCGCTGAAGAGCCGCTGCCCTCTGGCCGGGAAGGTGGACAGGGCTGGATGCGGAGGCCACGTCCCCGTCCCCATCTCCACTACTTCAGAACACAGGGAACTTCGGGTGGCGTTCTCAGAGCCAAGAAGATTAGGGGACATGAGTGGGGGAGACCACAGTTTGAAATCAAGAGAAGCCGATTGCCACCCTGTAGTGAGCCACCTGCAGAAAGGGGGGCAGGAGTGGAGCGGCAGCGAGACTTGGGGGAAGCCAGTTTTCTCAAGGTTTCCGAGGGAGAGCGACGGGAGAGAGCCCGCCATGACCTCTGGAAACTGAGGCCACACTGGGGCGTCTCCCTTGGTGGTTAAATTATTTTTCATTTTTAGTCTGTGTCTTTGATTTTAAAGTAACGTATGTGCTGCAAGAAAATTTAAAAAGTAAAGGAAAACAAAACTAACAATCACGTGTTGCTTTCCCACCGGGAGACACTCAACGTGCCCTGTTCACTGTGGCTTCGTCCTAAGTCGCAACACAGCTGGCAGGCTCGGCCACTCTGTTCTGGACAGCCACCAGCCCTTTCCTAAACAAACCCTCTTATAAAACCCTCCCGGAAAACCTTTCTACACAAATTCTCACAGCAGCTCTGCTTATTTTTTAGGACAGAGCCCTAGAAATAAATCCCTAAGAAGTAAAATTTCTGGGAAAACGATAACAGACTAAGTGACCTGTGACTGGAAACCAAAGGGGTGGGGGCGGGGCGGCTGGGGCGGGGCGCACCTTGACCTCCCGCCGCCGGCTTTCCTCGTCTTCCTCGTGCTCCACCACGCCCTGGCTCAGGTTGGTGTAGTTGGCCAGCTTGTTGAGCAGTGAGGACACCATGGGGTTGCTGTCCATTTCCTCCTGTTTGGGACCAAGACATGGAGTCAGTCACCCCAATCCCGAACTGACAGGCCCCCAAACCGACCAGAACTAACCACCCGGCGGAGCCCCTGCTGTGTGGACACTCCAGAGCCCATGTCCAGGGCCATCGGGAGTCCAGCTCTGAAGCCTACAGACTTGAACCGGGCCACCCACCCAGCCAGGAGGCCTGGGGCCCCCACAACGGCCCAGGATTCAGCCTGTCCAGTGGGCTCCTAAGGCACCTCACGGGGAGGTGCTGGCTGAGACAGGGAGCGTCACCAGCTCCCTCCCAACCTGGCGCCCAGTCGGGCAGGCTGGCCCCTCAGTTCACCCTTAGACTAGGGTCCTCAAGGCCACGGCTCAAATTATAGCTACTGTGCACCCTGCTATTTGCAGGAGAAAGTGAACGTTACCTCAAAGAGCGCCATGCTCTTCCCTTCAAAGAAACTCTCTCTCTCCATCTCACAGTTGTCAATGATCGGGCTGCTTTCTCTCGAGTGTCCATCTCCTGCTGGGGAAACAGTTCAGGTCAGTTTTAGGAGCTGAAAAGGGACGGAGGCAATAGGGAACCAGGAAGACAGCAACCTTGGGGAGGAACTCCCAGTGACAGACACAAACGCAAAGCTGAGCCAAGTGCAGGCCACCGGGGAGAGGCCAGCGCCCGTGGCCAGAGGACGGAGTGGGCGCTGATGACAACACTGGGCCCCAAATACCACGTGTGGCCCCAGTCTTCCTTCTCTGAAAACACAGACGCACAGGTCACCTGCCGACATCAAACTCTGCCTGGGACCACGGCCAGCAAGGCCCACCAGGTCCCGGTCCCCTGCTCTGCCTGCACGGTGGCCACTGCACTCGGGGTGCTGCCAGTCCAGGCGCCTTGGGTCTCCCTCAACTCAGGTCCTGAGGGGCCTGGGGCTGACATCCACCAGAGGTGCGACAGGCCAGAGCCTGGATAACCCCCCACCAATACAACACACTGAACCCTGGAGCCACTTGGCAGTCACGGTGGGCATGAGACACGCCTGCATGATGGGACATACCCAGGGTCCATCCACCCCCGGGACCCTCCAACATGACCACTGGTCACCTGGCCACCCACACGGGGCTTAGACCTATCCACCCCCGGGTGGCCTGAGAAGCCTAGCTGTCCAACGGCCATCTGGAAGAGTGACTCCTGCCACAGCACACCCACTGGAGCTGTCACTGGGTCATGGACAAACCACAGGTCTGGGGGCCTGTTCTGTGGGTACAGGGTCCTGGCACACCGGCTCTTCCCAGCCAGGTCCTGGGATTCATGCAGCCTCTGGAGAGAACCCCCCAAATGGATGTCTGCTGACGCCACCCAACTCAGCCGGCCCGGCTAACTGAGGGACACAGGACAGGGCCTCGGGCTGCCGGTGGTCAAGAGCTGCTGGGTTCACAGCCGAGCCCTCCCGCCTGGGTTTCCCCGCACGTAAGACGGGGCTTACAGGGGGGCTGATTAACTTAGTGGTGCCTTTGGAGCATCTCTTATTGGGTTGTCGGAAAAGTCATGACGTATTTTGTCCATGTTTTTCAAAGGTCATTTATTTATATAAAGAACAAGGATCAATCAATAATATATTGCCCGTTTTGTTCGATAACCTTTTGCCATTTTTCAATGAGCTTCATAATTCCTCGTTCATAGAAGGACCTGTCTTTATTTGTGAAAAACTGAACAAGGTGCTGATTTACAGCCTCATCTGACTTGAACGTTATACCACACAAGGAGTTTTGAAGAGAGTGAAACAAGTGGAAGTCTGACTGCACAAGGTCAGGCGAGTATGGTGGGTGTGGCAACACATCCCATCCAAGCTCCAATCATTTTTAACGGGTGATCAAACTTGTGTGTGGTCTCGTGTTGTCGCGATGGAACAAAACTCCTTTACAATTAACAAGCTCTGGATGTTTCTGGATGATGGATTTGTTCAAACTGTCCAATTGCTGACAGTACACATTCGAATTGATTGTTTGGTTCCTTAATAGGAGCTCGGAAAACACGACATCTTTAAAATCCCACCACACTGAGAGCATAACCTTCCTCTGATGAATGTCTGCTTTCGATGTCATTTGAGGCGAATCATCATGTCGGGACCAAGACCGTTTGTGCTCCACATTGTTGTAAACAATCCACTTCTCATCACCAGTTATCAGTCGCTTCAAAAAAGGATCGTTTTCCTCACATTTAATGAGCATATTGCAGATGTTTATACGCGCCGTCAAATGAACTTCCTTGAGTTCATGCAGAACCCAAATATCAAGCTTGCTTATGTATCCCAGCTTCTTCAGGTGGTCGTGAATGCTTGAATGATGGGTGTTCAATGTTTCTGCAATCTCTGGTGTCATGTAATGTGGGTTTGACTCCATCAATGCCTTTATTTTGTCGTCATCAACCTCGGTGGGCCTCCCTGACCGAGGAGCATCGTTGAAATCAAAATCACCAGCACGGAATTTCGTGAACCATCGTTGGCACTGACGTTCTTGTAGAGCATTGTCACTGTAAACTTTATGCAACTTTTCACAAGCTTGACATGCATTCTTCCCTTTATGGAAGTAAAACAGTAAAATATGGCAAAAATGCACAGTTTGGTCTTCCATCTTCAACTTGTTGTAAAAATCTCCAAAACTCAACCAAATTGCTCAATTTTCATTTAGAATGAAGCTAGAACTGCCAGCTGTTAAAATGACATAGCAATGACATAGATGCAAATGACTCTAGTACTTCCAAAAATGAACTAGTGCCACCTGTTGCAAACATGCGTCATGACTTTTCCGACACCCAACAGAAAACCTTGGCCAGACGACTGGGAGTGAAGGGTCTCGTGGGCAGGGGCTGGGCAGCACCCCCGGGACCCTGGCACAGAGCCCAGCAAGTCTGTCTGCACCAGCCTAGTAACCTCCCCGGGAGGCCCAGCACCCCGATGGTGGGGATCACAGAGAGCCAGGATGGGCCAGTCCAGGGGTGCACTGCCAGGGCAGGGAGGGGGCCCCCCAGCAGGCGTGGGCTTCTGGCAGACATCACTACTGTGCCTCTGCCCACAATTAACCGGACACTTTCAGACCAAACACGCAGCACGTTTTATAAAGATGAACCTGCCCAACAACCATGTGGCCCATCACTGGAAACCCAGTTTTAAATTAGGGTTCACCACCCAGTGAAACGCTACACTTATTTTAAAAGACGGGGCTGCATTTGCCATGAAATATGCCCCCGGTGTGTTGGTGACAAGCAGGTAACAGCACCACACACAATAGGATGGCAGCACTGAAAGGGCAGCTCCGAGGGGGGGGCTCGCTGCCAGGCTGGGCTCAGGCGCAGTGACGCCTTGTGCAGACTGGGCTTTTTAAAGCTCTCCATTGTGAGGTAGGGGGCTCAGGTAGAAAGAATCCCAGGGCAGCCTTCTGTTCAGGAGCTTCAAGTCCCAATCCGTCCCTCTCGGGTCCCACGGACCCTACAACGCCTCTCTGGAACTTCTGGGGACAAAGTGATGCCACCGACTGCTGGCCTGTAACAGTCAGTGACGTGAACATGCTCAAGTCAACAAGGGTGACATGGACACGGCGTTAGTTTTGTTGTGACAGCACTATGAATCCTGACAGGTCACAGTGGCCTCACATGGGGTCAATCCCCCAGCCGTTCGGAGCACAGATCCCACAACGGGGTGTCGCAGAACCCACACGTAAGGCATGGCCCTCAGGTGACCATATGGGACCCCCGCCTCCATGGCTTCTCTGTCAGGATGGCCTGACCCAGGCCCCCAGGTCACCACAACCAGGTCACAGAGGACCACACAGGCTCAACCTGACCAACCTGCAAGCTTACTCCCAAACCCTGAAACACGGGCCCCAACACGTGCTCTGAATTCGAAATGGAGAGAAAACCACTGGCCTCACTCTAATCACAACCCCTAAGTGCTGCAGAGCCCTGAACCCTCGGGCACCCCTACTGCATCGATCAGGGACGCCAATGTCACCATCCCAGAAGCTGCCAGCAGGGACATGCAGAGCGGGCATGGAGAGGGGCCCGCAGGCTGGGGCCACCAGCCCTGCCTGCACCCCCCATCTGGACCTTATCCGCGTCCCTCCGACACTGTGCCCACTTACGAGTCACTACCACCAACTCACCACCACCAACGGGTCTCGTGCGGGGCCCCAATGAGTCACCGCCACCAATGGGTCTCGTGGGGGGCCCCAATGAGTCACCGCCACCAGCAGGCCGCATGGGAGCTACAGCCACACCAGGGAAAGGCGCAGGCTCTTATGACCCAGCCCCACACCAGGAGGCTCTGAGTGAGGGCGCCAGGACACTGACTTCCCTCGGCCCCCAGGGAGCCCCAACTTGTGCTGAGCGTGGACTTAGCGGGGAGTCACCTACTCACGGCAAGTCCTGTGGGGTGGCTTTCTGACAGAAGCCCACAAGGAGATAGGAGGTCATGCCAGATGCTCAGGGAGGGGGTGCCCACCAGTCTGTCCCCCAAGGAGGCGCTAGGCTGTGTCCTTGTCCCCAAACAAGGGAAAGGAAAGAGGGAGAAAGAGGAGCAGGAAGCCTCCTGTGCCCAGGGCTTCCGCCCCATCCGCTGACCAGTCCCCGGAAACCCACACGGACCCCACTCCTCAGCTCCACACCTGTCTGCCCACAGCCTCCCGACTCCCCCAGCGGAGGCGCCGGGGGTCCCAGGCCTTGGCACCAGGGCTACAGCAGGCGGCCCCGCCCCGCCCCACGCTCTGCTCCCCTCTGTTGGCTGGAGGCCTCCCAGGCCCCCGTCCCTACTGCAGAGCGCCAGCGAGTCACCGAGCAGAAGCAAGTCACCTCTGGACTGATGGCCACAGTGACCACTTCGGCCGAGACCCGCCAGTGGACGATGGGACCGGGGTGACGGCTGGAGCGAGCGGCATGGAGCCGGTCCGACCACATCTCCCGCGAGGCGCCCCAGCGGACACGCCACCCACTGACCTCACAAGGGGTCAAGGCTAACATCAGGGTTGGGGACTGACACCCAGAGCACAACACTGACGGCTGGGTTCCCGAGTCTGACCACGAGGAAGCTTGAGACGAACCCAAACAGGGACCCCCTGCGGGACCTCCGGCCCAGCTCAGAGGTCGGTGCCACGGAAGCCAAGGGCTGTGGAAAGTTCCAGATGGAAGGACACAGGGACAGGGCCATGCAGTGCAGTGCGTGACCCGATGCTCTCGATAAGGGACATTGCTGGGCTGACGAGGGAAATCTGAACAAGACCTTCCGTCGGTGAGAATTCTGATCTGGGCGACGATACAATGGAGATTACGAGAAAACACATCCATTCCTCTCAACTGTCAGGAGCCAAGTGTGAGGGGGGAGAAACAGGCAAACGCGGCGAAACCTTAACATTCAGGGAAATCGGGCCAACGGTGCGTGGAAATTCCTTGTGTTGTTCTTGCAACTGTCTGAAGTCTAAAGTTACATCAAAATAAAGTTTAAAAAAATACAAATATGTCCAAATAAAAGAGAAATA